CAACTGTCACCAATTGTTTTTACTCTGCTGACTGCAAAGTAAAGTTCCTGGTCTGATTGCATCTGAAACACATACTTTCTAAGGTTTATTTTGTATTCTCTACCTTTTTAATTTTTTTTCAATTTTTAATTGTTGTGGGTACAGAGTAAGTGTATATATTTATGAGGTAAGGAGATATTTTGTACAGGCATGCAATGCATAACAATCATAAATAGGGTATCTAACACATGCATTGATCTCTTGTGTTTCAATAATTCAATTATAGTCTAGCTATTTTTAAATGAACAGTTAAATTATTTTTTTACTATAGTCACCCTGTTGTGCTAGCAAAAACTACATCTTATTCTTTCTATTTTGTTGTACTGATTAACCACCTCCCCTGCCCCTCCACCTTTCAACCCCGACTACCCTTCCCAGCCTCTTACAACCATGCTTCTACATTTTATCTCCATGAGTTCAATTGTTTTAATTTTTAGCTCCCACAGATAAGTGAGAATATGCAATGTTTGTCTTTCTGTGCCTGGCTTATTTCACTTAACATAATGACCTCCAGTTCCAACTATATTGTTGCAAATGACAGGATCTCATTTTCTTTATGGCTGAATAGTACGCTCTTGCATATATGTACCAAATTTTCTTCATCCATTTGTCTGTTGATAGATACTTAGGTTGCCTCCAAATCTTGGCTATTGTGAAGAGTGCTGCAATAAACATAGGAGTGCAGATATCTCTTCAATATACTTATTTCCTTTCTTATAGATAGATAACTAGAAATGGGATTGCTAGATTGTATGGTAGTTCTATTTTTACTTTTTTGAGGAACTTCCAAACTGTTCTCCATAGCGATTGTACCAATTTATATTCCCTCCAACAGTGTGTGAGGGTTCCCTTTTTTCCACAGTCACCACCATTTGTTATTGCCTCTTTTCAATAAAAGCAATTTTAACTGTAATGAGATGATATCTCATTGTAGTTTTGACCAATGATATGGAGTGCCTTTTCATATACCTGTTTGACATTTGCATGTCTTCTTTTGAGAAATGTCTGTTCAGATGTTTTTCCCATTTTTAATTGGATTACTAGATTTTTTCCTATAGAGTTGTTTGAGCTCCTTATATATCCTGGTTATTAATCCCTTGCCAAATGGGTAGTTTGCAAATATTTTCTCCCATTCTGTGAGTTGTCTCTTCACTCTGTTGATTGTTTCCTTTGCTGTAGAGAAACTTTTTAACTTGATGTGATCTCATTTGGCCATTTTTGCTTTAGTTTCCTGTGCCTATGGGGTATTACTCAAGAACTCTTTGTGCAGCCAATGTCCTGGAGAATTTCTCCATTGTTTTCTTTCAGTGGTTTTTTTTAATAGGTAGTTTGAGATCTTAGATTTTCCAAGTCTTTAATTCATTTTGATTTGATTTTTGCATAAGGCAAGAGAGAGTCAAGTTTCTTTCTTCTGCATATGGATATTTAGTTTTCCCAGCACTATTTATAGAAGAGACCATCCTTTTCCCAATGTATGCTATTGGTGCCTTTGCAGAAAATAAGTTTACTGTAGATATATGGATTTATTTCTAGGTTCTCTATCTGTTCCAGGGGTCTATGTATCTCTTTTTATGTCAGTACCATACTGTTTGGTTACTATAGCTTTGGAGCATAATTTGAAGTCAAGTAATGTGATTCCTCCTCTAGTTTTGTTCTTTTTGCTTAAGACAGCTTTGGCTATTCTGAGTCTTTTGTGGTTCCATATAAATTTTCAGATTGTTTTATCCTATTTTAGTCAAGAACTTCATTGGTATTTTGATAGGGATTACATTGAATCTGTAGATTGCTTTGGGTAGTACAGACATTTTAACAATATTGATTCTTTCAATCCATTAACATAAAATATCCTTTCATTTTTTTTGTGTCCGCTTCAGTTTCTTGCATCCATATATATATATATATGGAGAGAGAGAGAGAGAGAGAGAGAGAGAGAGAAAGAGAGAGAGAGAGAACTTTTTTTTTTGAGACAGAGTCTCACTGTCGCCCAGGCTCGAGTACAGTGGCCCAATCTTGGCTCACTGCAACTTTCCACCTCCCAGGCTCAAGCAATTTTCCTGCCTTAGCTTCCCAAGTAGCTGGGATTACAGGCACCCGCCACAAAGCCCAGCTAATTTTTTGTAGTTTTACTAGAGACAGGGTTTCACCATGTTGGTCAGGCTGGTCTCGAACTCCTGACCTTATGATCTGCCCGCCTTGGCCACCCAAAGTGCTGAGATTACAGGCATGAGCCACCATACACAACCATATCCATATTTTAGAGTTTTCATTGGAAAGTCTTTCACTTCTTTGGTTAATTCCTAGGCATCTATTTGTAGTTATTGTAAATAGGATTACTTTCTTGATTTCTTTTTCAGATTGTTCACTGTTGGCATATAAAAATGCTACTGATTTTGTATGTTAATTTTGTATGCTGAAACTTTACTGAATTTGCTTATCAGTTCAAATAGGTTTTTGGTGGAGTCTAGGGTTTCCCAAATATAAGATTATATCATCTGCAATCAAAGATAACTTGACTTTTTTCTTTACAATCTGAATGTCCTTTATTTCTTTCTCTTGTCTGATTGTTCTGGCTAGGGCTTCCAGTTCTAGACTGACTAACAGTGGGTACAGTGGGCAGCCTTGTTATTTCCAGATCTTAGAGGAAAGGCTTTCAGTTTTTTCTCTATTCAGTATGAAACTACCTGTGGGTCTGTTGTATATGGCTTTTATTATGTTGAGGTATGCTCCTTCCATACCCAGTTTTTTCGAGGGTTTTTATCATAAAGGATGTTGAATATTATCAAATGCTTTTTCAACATCATTTTAAATGATCATATAGTTTTTGTCCTTTATTCTATTGATATGATATATCACATTGATTAATTTGTGTATGTTGAATCATGCTTACATTACTAGGATAAATCCCATTTGGTCATGATGAATGATTTTTTTTTTTTTTTTTTTTTTTGAGAGAGTCTCGCTCCATCATGCAGGCTGGAGTGCAGTGGCATGATCTCAGCTCACTGCAACCTCCGCCTCCCAAATTCAAGTAATTCTTCTGCCTCAGTCTCCCAAGTAGCTGAGACAACAGGTGTGCACCACCATACCCACTAATTTTTAGTAGAGACAGGGTTTCACCATTTTGAACAGGCTGGTCTCGAACTCCTGACCTCAGGTGATCACCCGCCTTGGCCTCTCAAAGTGCTAGGATTACAGGCATGAGCCACTGAGCCTGGCCTGAATGGTCTTTTTAATGTGTTGCTGAATTCAACTTGCTAGTATTTTGTTGAGGATTTTTGCATAAATATTCGTTAGGGATATTGGCCTGTAGTTTTTTTTGTTTTTTTTTTTAATTGTTTTGGTCTGATTTGGGGATCAGGGTAATATGCAGAATGAGTTTGGAGGTGTTCCCTTCTCCTCTGTTTTTTGTAATAGTTTGACTAGAATTGGTATCAGATCTTTAAATCAAATCCCAGGCTTTTCTTTGCCAGAAGCCTTTTTATTACACCTTTGATCTTGTTATTCATTATTGGTCTGTTCAGGTTTTGGATTTCATCATTCAATCTTGGTAGCTTGTCTGTGTCTAAGAATTTGTCCCTTTCTTCTAGATTTTTCAATTTATTGGCATGCAGTTGTTCATAGTAGCCACTAATGATCCTTTGAATTTCTGTGGTATTGATTGTAATGCCTCCTTTTTCATCTCTGATTTTATTTATTTGGATCTTTTCTTTTTTCCTTAGGTAGTCTGGCCAAATGTTTGTCTATTTTGTTCAACTTTTCAAAAACAACTTTTTGTTTCATTGATCTTTTGTATTGTTTTTACTTCAAATTCTTTTATTTCTTCTCTGACCTTTATTATTTCTTTTCTTCTACTAATTTTGAGTTCAGTTTGTTCTTGCTTTTCTAGTTCTTTAAGATGCATCATTGGGTTATTTGAATTTTTTCTAATTTTTCAATGTAGGCAATTATAGCTATACGTTTCCCACTTAGTATTGCTTTTGCTATACTCCATAGATTTTGATATGTTGGGTTGTCATTGTCATTTATTTCAAGACACTTTTCAATTTCCTTCTAATTTCTTCATTGACCATCTCCTCCGAGCCACAGGTCACCCAGTCCACATCATTTCTCATCTGTCAGTCACACCTCCTCTTAGCTCTTGTGTCAGTCTGCAGGACAACCATACTTCAGCCCCATTTCCATATGCTCTGCTTAGCACAGTGATTCTTCTGGGCAGCTCATTCTCCTAAATTACTACATTGCTCACAAACACTTAATGGATCCCATTGCCACATAAAATCCAAACTCCTTTGAGTATTTCATGAAGCCCTCTGTGATCTCATCCTCATCTCTTGCCACATACTTATGGTATCCTAAGCTAACCACCAAACACATCATGCTTTTTCATGTCTTTGTACCTCTTATCAGGCTGCTTTCCCTGCCCAGAAAAGGAACATCCTTCCTCACCTACCTTCCAAACCTGAAAACCTCTTAGTCCTCTTTCAAGAATCTGCTCGAGCCTGACCTCATCAGCTAGACTTGTTACCTTCTTCCTTTCTGCCCCCACTTTTCCTCATTCTTTTATTTGTTCTATTGTATCTATCATGCTGAATGGCTTTTGTTTGTTTATTTCTGGTTTAACTACTAGACTATAAGCTCTTTGATAGTAGGAATCAAGTTGTGTTTACCCATGACTTCTTAGTACCACATCAAATGGCTGGCATGTAGTGGGTGCTCTGTCAGCATTTATTGTGCTGATCTTTCCCAATTCCTTTAGGGAGTCTTTTGACAAGAACCTCAGCTAAAACTAAATCAGCTTGAAAAAACCAATATTGAAAGATTTTGTCCTGCATTAATTGGTTAGGGCATAATTTCATATTCTAGGAACCCCTGAAATACCTTTTTTTCATATTTTTTTTCTTAGAAAGTCATCTCATTTTGCCGGTTTGAACAAGCCTAGAAAGTTTGATGTTTTGTTTTGAAACTTAAAAGTGCTTTAAGAAGCACTTTGTGCACTTGGACGTGGTTGAGAAGAGACCCACAGAGATGATTAAAGGCTGAAAAACAGACTAAGAAAACTGGAAGGGAAAGCTAAAGGCAATTTAGTAATCAACGTCAAGCATGTGAAAGGTTGTTATTACCAAGGAGGGTGACGAACCCATGATGTTCATAACCTCTAAGGGAAGAGCAACAGGAAATGAGGCAAGTTACAGCATAGATGATTTAGGTTAGATACAGAGGAATGCACCTGGCAGAAAACATTGCTACATACTGAAGGATCCAACAGGAATGATGCCTTCTCTAGGTCTCTCCTTCTCCAGAGGTATATAAACATAGGAAAGGTTTCCAACTGCCTGGAATGTTCCCTGTGCAATATTGCCTAAACTCAAGAATAAAATTAACAGTTTTGAGGGATAGTCTCCAGAAAGGTCATAGATTTTTGTCACCTAGGACACAGGTGATCTGACAAAGTCTTTTCAACTCCAAAAATCTTGGAGAAAGTATTTCAGAGGAACTGAATTCAGTGGTCACATTTTTTCACTACACATATATTAAGCTTTCAAAGACACCCCTGTGTTAGCTACCATCAAAATTACTAAGGCATAGTTTATTCTAGTAGAGGAAAGAGCTGATTACCAATATTATTTAAAGGGCTATCAAGGCATCAGCTCTCAGAATTCTGTATCACTCATACTTGTGCACACACACATACAACTACAAAGCAGCCACCAAAGCTACTTGCATTTCCTCTGAGTGACATGGATCCCCAGCTGCTCTAACCTCCAAACCTTTGCATATGCTATTTCCTCTACCTCTAATTCCCTTCCCCAACCTCCTTACCCTGTAAATCCCTTCTTGTCCCTAAAGATAGTGTTCAGGCACTACCTCCTCCAAGCTGCCCTGTTGCCACAGTTACTATTCCCCTCACCCCCCCCCCCTAGATTATGAAACTGTTTCATGATCCCTGGCTGCAAGCATTAGGAACTGAATTAAAATAATTCTAATAAAAGAGAACTTGTTTGAAGTATAATGTATCAGGGGCTCAATAGTAGCTGGAGGAACAGGCTTGGAAATGCCCAAGATTTAAGGGAGTTAAAGCCAAGATTTAGGAGAGTTAAAGCCAACAAGCAATTATCTCATATTTGAAAGCATCAGGGCTGGATGTTTCTACCTCACTTGAGGTCAGAATGCCCTAAATATATTCTGTCCATCGTAGTGTCAACATCCTAAAAGAAGGTCTCATTGGCCAACCTTAGGTCTTATGACTAGCCCTAAGTAGCCTGTGGCCACACTAGGGTGGGAGAGAAAGATCACTTCTTTCAGTTTGTCTAGTGGGCATTGGTCACTAGAAATTATCCTCCCAGTTAAATTCAGACAATGGAGGAGAGGTGATTCCCCCAAAAAAGAAATTGTAATAAAATAGAAGAGGCAATGTAATCTAAGCAGCTCTCTCTTATATTCATCACATTGTGCTGTGATCCTTGATTTTCTTCTCTGTGTTCTTAGCAAGTTCATGTGCTCTCTGAAGGCAGCAATTGTATCTTTTATCTCTGTCTCACAGACTATTGGGTACAGAGTATGTGATCAATAACATTTTACAGGCTGTTGGTCAATATTTGTTGAATGATACATGAAGGCTAAGACCATATGCATTCTTGTGTCTGCCGACTTCAAACTCAGTGCTTTTCCTACCATACCACAAGGTTAGCAGGGATCATGTGCTCAGCCTTAATCCAGTCATCTGTTTCATAACCTAAGGCATTTGTTATCACTGATTTTTTAAAATAAATTAAGATTGGTATAGTAAGTCTTGGTTATAGCTGGCAAAAAAAAAAAAAAAGTCTCAAAATATTCAGAGAACTGAAGCCCAGGATGTGCAAATGCAGTTTTTAAGCCCATTTATTCATGTTTTCTATATCACTATCTTTGAGTAAAACTATGATGTCCATCAAACTTCTCAGACAATACTAGCCACACACGTCTACCTAAAAATTAGGTAGCCACTATCTAATTTTTACTTAGATAATGGTGACTATAGGAAAAGAAAAGAAAAATAATAGCAGCAGGTTGCAAATAAGCTCTAAACATAGCAAATAACTAAATATAATAAAACGTAGTGCATCTGTGTTTCCGTGGTCACTATCACACAGGTGAGTGTGACTGACTGGCTTGTTAAGTCCATTTCAATACTACCAGTGTTCATTGACAGTGTCTATAGCCATTCAAGCCTGTGACTTTGCATGGTTTGTTTAATCCAATTTCAATTTTGTTCTGAATCATACTTGGCTTTGCACTGAGTATTGCTTCATTGAGATGAATAAATACACACCTTGTTCAAAAGAAAAAAAAAAGAGTCTTTGGGAATTCATTGACAGAATTTCAAAAGTTCAAGATTTAGATCTTATAGATGACTAAGAGGTAAGTTGATCTTTCTTTGGGGACACATTGTCATGGACATCGACAATTGTAGTCAGGTGCTTGGCAATAAATCAACAATGGATTTTGGCCTTATAGGGTATCTATTGTCTTAAGTTTTAAGCCATCAAGCTTATATTTTAAAAAATAGGTTAGGACTCCAAACTTATATATCTATATCTGTATTGAATTGGCCCAGGAACGTGGTTCTGGGTTCTTCTTCAATAAAGATTTCATATGACACTTACATATTTATTCACATTTTCTATATCACTAAAAAGACAAGTTATATAGCAAAATGCCTGTATGTTCAATTGGCTGGATTACAGTCAGCCGTCTGAAGAAACAATATTTGTTCAAATTAAACAGTAAGATATTAGCAAGAGTGTTACAAGAGATTCTTATTTTGAAGAGCTTGTCAGTTGAGGTACATTTTACATTTTATATTCAAATTTAAGATCAGACTAGTATATGGTAGTAATTTTTGCATGTTTACAACAAGATTTCCTCCTTTCTGCTGCATAGAACTCCACTTAAAAATCATTTAAAACGCAGGAGAATTAGGTCTCATTGATCCAAACATGGATTTACACATCAGCTCCCCTCGGGATAGGAAGAACGTGAAAGAAACTTAACTACTCTGAAAGAATTTTGAAGTTGATTTTGCTAATGTGAATCTATGATGGTAGACCTGCTTGGCAACCCTAAATTGTTTTTACTGCAGCTGTGGATTACCTGTGGTTTCAAATGAACTACTGTGTATGCTTTGTTTATTTTATCCCTTCTTCCTGTTGGAAAAACAGCTGGAGAACAGACATCCTGCTGTTCAGAGCCTCCGGCCTTGGAATATTAACAGGAAGCCACAATAAGCATCTTCATTACTTCACCTGTGGCATAAATGGCAGAGAGAATGGAACCCATCCGGAGGAACTTATTTAAAACAGAATGAAGCAGTTTGTGGACCATATGTCTGCACATCCAAATAACTGCCACTGGCCTAGTAAATTGGCTTCTTTTGTGCAGTGTTCAACCAGGTGAAAAGAAAAACTCAATGTCCTATATAAAAGAGAAAAGGTAGGCCTCAATAGCCTTTGGCAATAAATGGAATACAATATTTGGTGCATTAAACCAAGAAGTAGTATCACATAATTTATGTCAGGTGCTTTTAGCATTTAGTAAAAGATATGGGAGTAGATAGTAGGGGTGTGTAGATGGGAGATGAGGAAGCTAATAGTCTTACAAGATACTTTCGTGTGTTTTTCATTATGTATAATTACTCATCCTAAGGCAAGAGGATTATTGCATAAGCATTATTCCAAATATCTTCCCATTTTAGGGAAAGAGGGAGGGGTGAATAGAGAGAGGACAAATAATTATAAAAGATCAATGTCCCTGTTCTTCAAATGAGGAGATGGGGCTAAGGAGGTATTATGACCTATCTAAGACTCTTTATATAATGTCTACATTATAATGGGCCAGATACATTCCTGGAAGTGAATTTATCTGCTGCAGATTCATCTTCCCTTCTATGGAATGAGTCTGTAAAAAAAAAAATTATTCTGGAAAAAGTATTTCCCTTTTAAAAATAAAAATGAGCTACTGAACAGAAGGACAAAAGAAAGGAATAATAATCTTAACAATCATAATTAAATATACACTGGAACCCTTGTTCCGACTGCACCCATATGTCAATAGGGCACTTCATTTATTAGATCTTTGTATGTATTCAGTCTATCGACTGCAAAACACACTTAAGAAAACAAATGCAGCAGTACAAACACAGACACACAGACACAATTTTTTTGAAATCACAGTCCACTGAACTGGGATTTTAGAAATCCCTCATACCATATAATCACTACTGGCCCATAAAGCAGACAGACTTGGGTTCAAATCTCAGCCATCCCACTTTCAGATATGTGAACTTGGATAAATCACTGTATGCTTTGGAATATAAGGAATTCTTCCATTTTCCCAAGGAGAAGATTCAAACCTTTTTTTTTTTTTTTAACCAACTGGAACTATATAAATGTATAGAAATGGAGATAATTGAAAGTCTATTTATAACAGTCAAATATTTAAAATCATGTAAAATATCAATTTAGAAATTTTTGTCACTCTCATATTTCATAAAAGTTTTCTTCTAATTCTTAATATGTAGCATTAAAATTATTGTCACCTGACAGTCTTCACAAATCATCTTCATTTTCACATGTGTTGTTTAATGCTGTCATCAGAAATTTTATCCTCTTGGAGAAACAAAGGGTGGTACATATACACTACGGAATACTCTGCAGTGATAGAAAAGAATGAAATAGTGTCCTTTGTAGCAACATGGATGCAGCTGGAAGTCATTATCCTAAGTAAACTAACACAGGAACAGAAAATCAAATACCACATGTTCTTACTTATAAGTGGGAGCTAAACATTGGGTCATCATGGACATAAAGATGGGAACAATAGACACTGCGGACTACTACAGGGAGGAGGGAGGGAGGGAGGGGGAAAGAATTGAAAAACTACCTATTGGGTCCTATGGTCACTACCTGGGTAACAGGATCCGTCATACCCCAAACCTCAGCATCATGCAATATACCATGTAACAAACCTGTACATATGCCTCCTGAATCTAGTAGAAAAAGTTGAAATTATTTTTTAAAGTATTATAAAAAAGAAATTTCATTCTGAACCACGAGTACCCCATTCGTATAACATTAAGACAATTGCTTTGTTCATTCATCCTGTAAATAAAAGTTTATCCTGTTGTGTCCACTTAATGTGATATAATAACTAATATATTGCTTTAGAAAATATTCTTTTTAAAGGCTGTTTATGATGACATCCAACTCTTGCAATTGTGGAGTCACCACTCCACCCCCAAGAATAATGAATAAATCTGTCAAATTTCTAAATTTCTTTTCTTTTCTTTCTTTCTTTTTTTTTTTTTTTTGTGACAGAGTCTCACTCTGTCAACTCTTGGAGAAAGAAAGTGTGGTACATATACATCATATACATCATGGAATACTCTGCAGCCATAGAAAAGAACTCCAGGCTGGAGTGCAGTGGCATAATCTTGGCTCACTGCAACTTATACCTCCCGGGTTCAAGTAAGCCTCCTGCTTCAGCCTCCCAAGTAGATGCAATTACAGGCATGTACCATCATGCCTGCTAATTTTTGTATTTTTAGTACAGAGGGGTTTCACTATTTTGTCCAGGCTGGTCTTGAACTCCTGACCTCAAGTGATCTGCCTGTCTCGGCCTCCCAAAGTGCTGGGATTATAGTCATGAGCCACCATGCCTGGCCCTGTCAAATTTCTTTGCCTCCTTTTTCAGGTTTTCTGCAGGTGAATTCTATAAGCTTTTGAGAACAGAATCATCTGAGGTCATCTCAGGCTTATGTTGTTTTAGAAGTTGAAAACATGCCCCATAATTTGAGAGACTTTATAAATATTGAACTACAATATAAGGAGACCTCCTCACTCCTGGGAAATAGGCTTGGAAACTATCTCATCTTATTCTTTAGCACATACAGCACTTAATCTCTCTAAGCGTCTGTTTCCTCTGTTATAAAACAGAGCTAATAATAGTACTTTGCTTACAGAATGGTGGTGAGGATTAAATGAGACAACATACTACAATGACACTCAGCACAGTGCTGTGCGCCTAGAAAGTAATAGATTTTATCTATTGACACTGCCCCAGTTTGGGGTACCACGCATTAAAAATGAAAACTTGAAGACATATGTTCAAGATAACTCACAAAGATTTAAAATGAAGCAGATGAGGAGAGGTTAAAGGAACTAGAACTCTTCAACAAAGACTAATAAGTATTTCTGCTCTTCTTCTGCACTCAGCAAGACAGCCATGATATGCATCTGAATTACACCACAAAGGACTTATGTCATATGGAAAGAAGAGTTTCTATTCAGTGAAGGTTATGAAAAAAATTGAATCGCTTTCTGATAGAGGCTGTGAAGAACATTTAAAATGAGGGATCATCTTGGTACAGTTCTGTCTAAAGGCAATGCTATTCAAGGAATGATTTTTCAACGTCTCAAATTATCCTTATGTATCTGCACATCAAGATGAACTACCATATGAAATTAAAGTATAAGAATGTAACTCCAGTAACAGAGCATGAAAACCAGAGAAGGGTTGAAGACTAAAAAGATGGCATGTTTTGCTGAATTCCTTGGGTGTCAAGCAAATTTAATTTTTATTGTGCCCATTCGGGGGATTACTTTACTTCCAAAGATTGCCACCACTGTTAGAAAAAGCATAAACCTTGGAACTACAAAGACCTGAGTGCAGGTTTCAGCTTTTCTTCTTACTGCGTAATCTTTAACAGGTCTTTAAACTCTCTGCTAGTGTGTTTCATTATCTGCCAACAATGCATAAAAACATCAATGTTACAGGGCTGTAGTGAAGATTAAATGAGATGTTCATGAGATGGCTTAATTCAGCATTTGGCACACTGTGGATATTCTAAAGGTTGATACTGTTCTCTCCCAAATTGTGCTTCTGAACATACTACAGTTTTCAGAAGTGTAAGTTATCACATTACATTGTCAGCTGACAATCTTACAACTGCTGAAGGTTTACCCCTCAGTACCTAACAAAACCACATCACAGCTTGGTTTCCACTTTTCAGGCAACAAATTCTCCAAAGACAGAACTGGATGGAGGTGAACAAACTTCTGCCAAGTATGTGACAGTTTTACAAAGTTTCTCATCCAGTAGTTGTGCTAAGAACGGTTCCGTCATTTAGACATACTCTTGAAGAGAACTTCATTCTTTATAAAAGAAATTCCTTATACTTTCAACAAACCTCTCCACAGCTTCTACTTTATTCAGGAATGAATGATTTGGAGCAGCGTGAAACACACTAGCAAGGTACATTAATTAGAACAAGGCTTAGTAATATAACGAAAAGACTCAAAATATACAATCGCTTAAGGCAGAAATTATTTTTTCTCATATAACTGCTCAGAAGTAAGTGGTGGTGCTAGGCTGACAGGACAGCATTGACATCCTCAAGATAAAGTTTTCATCTCTGGGTTCTAGGCAACTCAGTGGGATGGGCAGAAAGAGTCATTGAGCACACCATATAACTTTCTAGGGGCACAATCCATATGAGACACCATACCTGAGATAACAAATCTAGTCAAGTGGCCACATAGCTATTAGGGAGACTGGGAAACGCAGAGTCATGCTGGGAAACCATGTGCTCAGCAAAAACTCAGGAAGAAGGCAATAAGAATACGTGGGCAGGATCATAAAAAGTATCTGCTTCACAGAATTAAAAAGGGATATATCTAAATGGTTTAACTTTGTATTAAAAAGCCATTTAAGATTGGAAAGTACAAACAATATACCTTTTTAATCTGAGAGTTGATGTGGTAGTTATGAATCAAACTCAAGGAATAAAGACCCTAGCAACATAAGTTGAGGCAGTAAGTACAAACCTTCATGTTTATACAACAGAAACCTGAGTCATCAAGTCTTACTGAGGCCAAGCTACATCTGGGAAAATCTGAATATGCTGACCCAGAAAAGAGTTGAAGTAGAGTTGTGTTGGATTAATGACAGCACTTAGCCTCAATCTTTTAAAAATTCAAAAGTTATGAAGACGGTCCCCTAAACAAGCCTGAGCTAGCCTGAAGAACTCCACAAGAAGAAAGAGCCCCACTCTGACGCAGAGTTTATGGCTTACAAAACATCAGGTCAGATGAAGTGACAACACCACCCCATTTGTCTGTGAGAAAATATCTCTGCAGCCAAAGAATAATAATTCCTATTTGCAGTCAAGAATGAGTTTACCAGATGCCATTTTGCAAATTTTTTTCAACCTATTTGAGAGATTTCAATATGTTACTTTTTTCATTGTCTGAGCTTCACATATATTATACTTCTCCAGGAAATTATAATATTTTATCATTAAGCACTTATTTATTAAGCTAATAGAGTTTGTCCTAATCTCATGAACAAATGCTTATTAATGATTATTAAGAATTATTCTGTTCCCTGACTATATTTCTGGGAAGAACCTCCATACTTCGCAAAGCAGAGAGTTTCCTGTATTTTTCCCAGCAAAAACAAGAGAATACACCAGAATTTCCAGATCCTACAAGAATAAAAAGAAAACCACCAAAACACAAGCAAACCAAAGATGAGTCCCAATCCCTTGTTTAAAATTGATACAAGGGAAGCATATCTCTTGTACTGCTTGACAGAGGAACTGGGAAAATATTCTGTGAAGTTAAAATAAACACACCACTGCCAATTTTGAAAATTCTTGGGATGGGGGCTGGGGAGACCTTCATTTTCTGATGGAGCAAATCCTAGACTAAGAAACCAGAAAATTTGCTTCAGATCCCAGATCAGCCAATAGCTAACTACATGGACTTGGGCAAATTCCATAATGTCTTTGGACTTCAAGTTTCTTATTTGTAAAATTAGGAAGTTGAGAGATATTATTTCTAAGATCTTTTCTAATTTAGAGAGTCAATGAGTTTATGAAACTACTGCTTACTGAGATTTCTTTAAAATCCCAACATCTGTCAGTTTGCTAAGAATGATGGTTTCCAGATTCATCCATGTCCCAACAGAAGAGCAGAAAATCAAACACCGCATGTTCTCACTCATAGGCGGGTGTTGAACAATAAGAACACATGGACACAGGGAGGGGAGCACTACACACTGGGGTCAGTTGGGGGGAAATACAGGAGGGACGGTGGGGGGTGGGGAGTTGGGGAGAGATAGCAAGGGGAGAGATGCCAGATGTAGGTGATGGGGAGGAAGGCAGCAAATCACACTGCCACGTGTGTACCTATGCAACAATCTTGCATGTTCTTCACATGTACCCCAAAACCTAAAATGCAATAAAATAAATAAATGGAAAAAAAATCCCAACATCACAAATATCACAGAATCATATTAATTTTGTTTTTATTTTATACTCACATTTAATAAATGATCAATTCTCCTCAACAATTACAGGAAAATAAAGATTCTGAAGACATCTTGTAAAGTTAAATTTGGTAAAGGAAAAAGTAAACTGTCTTCAAAAGAGCCAACTATCTAACCCTTAAAAGAGATGCATGTGTCACTTTATTAATTTTTGGTGCCAAAAAGTTATTTGGATAATGTGGCTGTTCCCTCCAAACTTCGATTATTTATGATTCATATCCTGCTGCCAGTAAAATGTTTATAGCATATGATCCCACCATTAATGTTAGTTTCAAAGGATTAAAGCTAATTATGGCTTTATTACACTTAAATGCTAACTTAAATTTGCTGCAGAATGGCATTACAATGAACCCCTGACTCCAATCTCATCTCCCCCAGCATCAGCCCATCAATCTTCCACAGAGACATCAGGGATTTTCCTGAAACAGAGGTAATAACCTGTGTCAGCAACTCCATAAGCTTCATTTCATGCTATAAAAGCTATGCCATCCTAGTTCACTTTTCTACGGCTTTGCAAGTGATGTGTTCAATATTCTAGAGTGTCAGTCCCAAGTCCTCTTTGTGGCTATAAAAAAATTAGTGCAAATATTTAGTAGCCCCCCCACCTCTAGAAAAATATAGTCTCTATAGTCTGTTCTCATGCTGCTAATAAAGAATACCCAAGACTGAGTAATTTATAAAGAAAAGAGGTTTAATTGACTCACCATTCCACGTGGCTGGGGAGGTCTCACAATCATGGTGGAAGATGAAGGGAAAGCAAGACATGTCTTACAGAGAAGCAGGCAAGAAAACACGTGCAGAGGAACTGCTCTTTTATAAAACCATCAGATCTTATGAGACTTATTCACTATCACGAGAATAGAAAAACACGCGCCCATAATTCAATTACCTCCCACTGGTTCCAGCCCACGAGACATGAGATTATTATAATTCAAGGTGAGATTTGGGTGGGGACACAGAGCCAAACCATATCAGAATCCTAGAGGCCAGAATCAGAAAATGGAAGGAAATTTTGTGCAAAGAAAATGGTACCACCTCCTTTGGGGGGAAGCAAACCTGCTTCAGCGTGTAGACCAGATTTTCAGCAAAAACTATTCAGTTGTTCTAAGTAACCTGGGCTTTTCCCTCCACTTTCCACCTCCCCATCTTCTTATTGCCTACCATGCAGACCCTGATCATCTTTAAGGATTGACTAAAATCTCACCGTCACTACCTCCTCTACTTTCTCCATGGTGACAGTTTTCTCCCCTAAGAACCTATTGAATTCCGTCCCTGCCTCTGTATCTCACTATCATCAGTGAATCACCAGTGAATTCCCCAGTCCCCTCATATCAGGACTACTTGTTTGATTATCATTTCACCCCAATAAACCATAACTTCCTTAAGGGTAAATAAATCATAGTAATCGCTATCCTGATTGCCTAAAACAAGATATGTTCATTTTAAGTTCTTAGAAAATGCCTGCTTACAGAAAAGTTGGTCTCGGTGGTGTAAAAGTAGTTCTAGTACTTAAAATCCGTACAACCAAAAGTCTAAGAGTAACAACAAATGTTGGCTCATGTTCTGAATATATCTATTATACAGAGCCATGTCTCTTCTCAAAAAAAGATGATGGATTAATCATTTATCTCATTTTATTTTTAAGTGAGATGTGTATTAAGCCATTCTTGCATTACTATAAAGGAATACCTTAGACTGGGTAATTGATAAAGAAAAAGGTTTAATTAGCTTATGGTTCTTCAGGCTGTACCGAAAGCTGAGCAGCATCTCCTTCAGTGAGGGCCTCAGGAGGCTTACAATCATGGCAGAAGGTGAAGAAGCAGCAGGTGCATCACATGGCAAGAGAGGGAGCAAGGGAGAGAGTGGGGAGGTACCACCACAGATCTAATATGAACTCACTCAACACCAAGGGGACGGTGCTAAGCCATTGATGAGGGATCCATCCCCATAATCCAAACACCTCCAACCAGGCCCCACCTCCAACACTGGGGATTACATTTCAACATGAGATTTGGTGGGGATGAATATCCAAATCCTATCAAGATGCGAGTTTCATTCACACGTTTGTGATCCTAGCTACTCAGGAGGCTAAAGTGGGAGGATTGCTTGAACCCCAAAGATTAAGACTGAGAGCTATGAACATGCCACTGCACTCCAGCCTAGGAGGCAGAGCAAGACCCTGTTTCAAAAAAAAAAAAAAACCTTTTTTAAAAGTACAACAATATTAAAAAAAATCTACTTTCAAATGTTTTATACATCTCTCTGTAAATTTCTTTGCTCTCACACCTTCAAAATCTGACTCTTTTTTCACAAAATGTAAATCAGCTCCATTCTAAAACAAAGAACTAATCCTTATTCACTAAAAAAAATTTTATTTATTTAACACAGGAACAGAAGTCCTCTATTTCCAGAGAATCAGCAATCTAAATGGATACAAATCATCTGCTACAATTTAGTGAGGGCCAAGGCATGTACCAATAGTCTAAGTAGTAAGGCCTAATTTCAGTGTTTCTCAACTTTGACACCAATGATTCTCTGAGCAAGATCATTCTTTATTTAGAGAGGTCAAGCTGTGCACTGTGGGCTGGTTAGCACTCTCCCTGGCCTCTACTCACTTGACTCCAGTAGCATCCCCCTAGTTGCAGCAGTCAAACCTGTCTGAGACTTTGTCAAATGCCCCTGGGAAGCAACGTTACTCCCAGTTGAGAACCACTGCTCTCAAAATACACAGATGGTAGATATAACAAGCTTTAGAGCCAGTCAGACAGTTAGCAAATATCAGCTCCATCACTTAAGAGCTATGTGATCTTGAGCAAATTACTTAATATCTCTGATCTTTAGTGTCTTGATCTGTAAAATGGTGCTAATAAGATCCATTTTCAGGATTTTTGTGAAGTCTAAGTGAAAAAATGTAAATAAAGGGCTTAGCATAGTACTTTGTAAATTATAAGCACTTAATAGCTAATATTTACTTTTGTTGTTTATTATTATACATTAAATATCAATTTGCTGGAATTAATACACCACAAAATATACCCTACTGTAACACTGAATACAATTTTATTTTTAAAGAGTTCAGAACTATTTCAAACTCTGCCTGTTTTTTAACAGCCACATAGTGAACATCAATAGATAGTGCTCTGTAGCTAAGGAAAGTGTGCAAAAGTTTTAGGCAGTAGAATTAGAGGAAGCAAATTTTTCTACTTATAGGGAATGTCAGGTCTCCATATGCATGCCTGGAGCCTGAAAGTCTGAAGTGCTGCTTGCCTCAGCTGACTGTCTCCCACCCCTACCCGCCTGCATTCTCCATTGTCCCTAATGGCCCAGCGGAGCTTCCCCGGACAAGCCCCTCACCCCACCCTGCCATCTTAACTCTTATTATAATAATACTCTTATCCCACCTGCCATTTTAACTGAACTTATGGTAATGTATACTTCTTGCCCCTACCCCCACCACTGTAACTGATCTTACTCTGTAACTTTCCACTGCCCACCCCAAACCTATAAAACCAACTCCTATCACACTGTCCTTTGCTAATGCCCTTTTCAGCCTTAGCCCGTCTGCACCCAGGTGATTAAACAGCCATGTTGCTCACACAAAGCCTGTTTGGTGGTGCGGGGGGAGTCTCTTCATTCAAAGCGCACATTTTCAACAGGGAAGACTCTTGTTGTCCTCCAATATCTAGTCTCTCTTCTCCTATGATGATAAGAATCTCCAAAATTTATCAACCCCAAATAAAATCATATTTCCCAGACTCCCTTAAGAGGGGCCATTGTGACCAAGTGCTGGTCAATGGGATGTAAGCAGAATTTGTGTGTATGACTTCTGAGAAGTATCTTTAAAGGAAGAGGGTCTGCTCCTTCTCCCCCTTATCCATCCTGCTGGTTGAAATATGGATGTGATGGCTGGGACATGAGTTGGGACCATGCCAGTAAAAACTATACCCTAGAGATAGTGAAGAGGAAACTTGGAAGCAGCGTGGATCCCAAATACATGTCGTATGGTACTGCCATTATCAGCTCTGAATGACCTACATCGTGACTTTAAAGTGAGAGAGAAAGAAAACTTCTATCCTGTTTAAGCCACTGTTATTTTGAGCCTATGCTAGTCATAGGCAAACAGATTGAATGTGTAACACTGGCTGAAAAGCGTGAGATCAAGCACCAAGCATACAGACGCTGCAGGCCAGCCAGCTGAAACCCCACATTATGAGATGGCACATTTGATAAAATTGTTTCCCGTTAGACCCAGCCAACCCAACCTATAGCTCTAAGCTGCATGGTTTAAAAATTCAAAATGTTGGTTCTCACCTAAACATTGTCTAACTGGCTCTCAGGCTTGTTTTGTTTGTTTGTTTTGATGTTTTTAAATATAAGTAGACAGTTTATTTAGGCCAAGCTTTAGAATTGCAACTCAGGAGCATAGACTCAAGTTTTCATGCTTGGCCTTGCACCTAAAGAATTATGAAAAAAATTAGCTACAGTTAGAGCTAACCGGTTGTAGAAATGGTGAGTAATCTCCCGCTCAGGGTTTGCAATCTAAGTTGTTAGACACGCGTATTAAATTTGGGGCCTTTTAAGTATAAAAATGCTAACTGGTTCTGTCTGTACTCACCCTGAACCCTATTTAAAGAGAATTGTAGACTTAGCAGGCAATGAGTCCTGTTTTCAGCCTTTATCATAGCAGAGTTTTCTACCAGACAATGGGAACCAGCCTAGCAGGAAAAATCATATTCAAGGTGCTACCTTCCCGTCTAAGCCTATTTTCTAGATAACCAGAAGGAGTGGTGTTATGGATTGAATTGTGTTCTCCCAAAATTCATGTTGATGTGCTAACTCCTGTATCTCAGAATGTGACTGAATTTGGAGACAGAATCTTCAAAGAGGCAATTAGGTGAAAACAAGGTCATTAGAACAGGGTGTAGTCCAATATGACCGATGTTTTACAAGAAGAGATTAGGACACAGATACACACAGAGGGAGGACCGTATGAAGACACTGGAAGAAGATGGCCATCTACAAGGAAGGAGAGAGGCCTCAGCAGAAAAATACTCTGCTGACACCTTGATCTTGGAATTCTAGCCTCCAGAACTACGAGGAAATATGTTTCTGTTGTCTGAGCCACCAAGTCTGTGGTCCTTTCTTATGGCAGCCCCAGCAAACTCATACAGGTAGGCAGAAGGGTAAACAGAGCACAGGGGACAAAAAATACTCTTGTAAAAACAAGAGTATTTAGTTTTAAAAACCATGTGGAAATGAATCCTTAGGTTTGTTTGCTCAAATGAGTACCAACCAGAAACAAATAGACCAGACATTTACTAATTTGGGGAGGAAATTGCATTGTCAAAGAAACCACAAGCCTGGCCTGATAAAGAACGTGATGATTTAACCCCTAAAATGACCCCTGAAACCCAGATTCTCCAATTCCAGAAAGGAGGCTGAGAAGGAAGGCAAACTGTCCAAGGTCTGCTTCAAATGTGATCAGAGAGGATAATGGAAGAAGAGAGCTTCTACCAGCATAGAGCCAAGAGCTTCCAGATGCACCAAGCCTAAGACTTACTCCTCCACCAGAACAAGGCTTCTTCCCAATTCTGGTCCAACAGGATCTGATAACTGCTACAGCTCAATTATTGGACAGTATTTCAGTGCCTTTTTCCCAATGGGAGTTTTTGCAGCAGTTACAACGTTACAACTCCACTGAAGCATATTGGGTAAGATGGGGCCAGAAAAGTATGGACCTAAATGGAGCTCTACTATGACCCAGTAGAAGGAACGAAGCATCACCCAGAGATCCTGGGGTTTGAGGTTATTACAATAACTAGATGGGATTTTGAATTGTCTCTCCAGGAAAGGGGTGAGTGTATTTTAAGTGTGTGAAGAAGATATACATAGATATCTAGGTTTCCACCTGGATGAACCACGTAGAGATTGTCAGATGTCTCTATTTGTTTTTCACTTCCTCTGAGAGCCCCAGAATTTTAGCTGTGTTTGTGACTGCCAAAACAAAAGATATCTTCCAGCTTCCTCTGCTACAGTATGGCTATTTAACTAAGTTCTGATCAATAGGATGTAAGCAGACATGACGTGTATAACTTCTAAGATGTGTTCTTAAAGGTAGGACACATGTCCTTCTTTCCCTTCTCTCTGTCCTGCTGCCTAGAATTTGGATGTAAGGGCTAGTGCCCCATCCTTGAGGATAAGAGTCATGTACCTAGTTCACCAACCTTGGTAAAATGGAAAGTTGGAAGCAACTTGTTTTGGATGACTGAGAAGCCATCATCTCAGCCTCTATTTCTATGCCTTTATGTGAGAGAAAAACAAATAATATACATCTTGCATAAGGCAGTGGTATATTTTGTGGTCGCCATTATTCACAATAGAACCTGTAGTACAACTAATAGATTGATCTTCTGTGTTTCCTTTCAGGTCTGCAGACTCAAAAAATAGTAATAATAAAATAAGAATAATGGCAGAAAACTATCATGTGATTCTTAATTCTAATTCCCTTGACCTTTTCAGGAAATGTGTCCCTTTTACTCTGCCATATGTGTATAGCAAATGAGGCTGAGAAAGGAGAAGGAGACAGAGTGGAAGCTGAAGTCAAAAATGGAAGAGATGTACAGAATCTGGCTACATGATTAGCCAGACCTGGGTGACTCACCTCCCTGAATGCAGTTCTCACAGTGAGTCAAAAGGAAAGATGTTGATAAAGATGGAAAAGAAATTCAGATATGTATCCTGAAACGGACTATGCTAATTTTCCCAATTATCCAAGTCCATCTTTATCCATCATTCACTTCAAAGTGAAATGATGACTTTCATAAGATTTTCATTTGGTTCTGAGATAAAGGAAAGGGAAATGAAAAATCATCTGGAAAGTGCTGCTTGATGCATAACACTTACCAAAAGGGGCTATGGTTCTCATCCACACTAACCCTATTTCTATTAATAAGAATTGTGGATAAAACCCTAGCTAGCATATCCAATCTTTTAGCTTCCACAATGCTTAGAAAACTGTCTTGGTGTTGCCCATCAA